TTATATAACACAAAGTATGTTAGGACTTACTATCTCAATCTAATTGCTCATTTTATTCTGGTTAAACTTATCATCAATTTTTTTTAAAGTCTGTAAATATTTTGCATTTCTTTTCAAAATCTCACGGCAGATGCACGAACATGCACATACGTACGCATACATACACATACACACACGCATACACACGCACACACAGGCACGCATATAACATACACATACACGCGCACGCACATGCACATGCACACACGCACACACGCAGATATACACACATACACGCACACGCACACGGACATACACAACACACACACGCACGCACACACACATTTGCACACATTCACACACACTCACATATACTCATGCGCACACGCACGTACACACACGAACACGCACAGATGCACACATATTCACACGCACTCACATACATTTATGCGCACACGCACTCACATACATTTATGCGCACACGCACGTACACACACATTTACACACATACACACGCGCACACACATACACACAGGCACACGCACATACGCACACATACACATATATACTTACACGTACACATATATACGAACACGTACACACACACACACCTACACACATAAATTGATAAATCTGTTTTGAGTTTCAGCAAAAAGTTTTCGAAATAATTTTGAAGCATTGTTGCAATATTTTTATATTATAAATTTTAATAATAAAAATAGTCATGCAATTATTTTTTCAATTTATTTTAAAATTACGTGCGCAAAATTTTTTGTTAACATCCATATTTAACTGGTATTTTTATTTTCTTAGAAGGCAAAGAATATTTTATTATTATATATTTTATATAGTAAAAAATATATTAAATACTATGAAATTGATAAGATCATATAATTTCATTTTTAAGATTGAAAATGAAAATTTCAATAAAATGTATTAAATTTCATAAATCATTTATGTCGTGCAGATTTTAACATTTTATGGACATTGGATATTAAACATTTGGTCATTGGACATTTTTATATTCCCAAATATAATATTTATATACATTTGATTTACGGTTAAATTTAATCCCTTATTATTCATAATCATTTTCATGAACTATCTTAGACATCTCCTTTAATTCTTTTCTGATTTCTCAGATATTCTATCATTTTCACATCTTATCATTATCATATCACTATATCTTATCACTATCATTTAATTGATTGAAATAATTAGCGCTTTTTTTTTTCGTAAAATTCCATTTGTATATTAAATTTTAGCATTAATTTGTATTTATTTATCTTTTGCTAATTTTTTTTTAATAATTTTGATATTAAATTAATCAATAAAACTGCCTTATTTTTTTTGTTAATAAATTATACACAATATTATTGATTTATATTTTTGATATCATTATATTAATTAATTATAATTTCTATATCAAATATCGTCATAATCATAAACCGATAATGAATGAAAATTTGAAATTTTTCGTAATAGAAAGTTTTCATAAACGGAAAATTAATGCATGCAATATTATGCCGAAATATTTCTTTTGCAGATTTTATTTTTGGAATGGAAATTTATGTTTAATTGAAATTTGAATATTTATTATTGTTAAAAATTCATATATTCATTATTGTTCATTAACATCTCATTGAAATTCTAACAATGTCAATAATCATTAGAATTGTGTGATAATGATAATGATGATGATGATGATGATGATGATGATGATGATAGTGATAACGATGACGATGGTGACGGTGATGGTGGTGATGATGTTGATGATGATGATTATGGTGATAGCGGTGATGATGGTGGTGATGATGATGATGATAATGATGATTATGGGGACGATGATGATTATGGTGATGATGATGATTACGCTGACGATGATGATGATGATGATAATGATGATTATGGTGGCGAAGATGATGATGATGATGATGATAATGACATTTTTTAAACAAAATTTGTTTGTTACAAGTATTCTCTCTCTTTCTCTCTCTCTCGAAAAAAAAACCCCCAATCATATATCCCCATAATTGTCATCTCTACTTTCCATTCCAACATTCTTTCCCCCGTTTATTCCCGTTCTCCGCGTTACTTCAATCATCGCTATATATAACCATCGGCAAAAATTTTAAATCTTCTGATAACACAATACCAAAATTTTTGCTATTGTTGCTATCATTCATTTCATCGTCAATAGAAGAACATATTTATTCACTTCAATATTTTCATCATTTTATACAATTTGTTGTATTTCCATCATTTACTATTTTATACGATTTGTTTTCAAATGTTTCTTTACCGTCCTAAAATTATTTTAATAATTTCTTTTTATTAAAATTTATCATTGAAAAAATTTTAATATTATTAATGAGGGGAAAGCAAAACTTACCTATTATTTAATATTAATAATGAATAAATTAATTTTTTTAGTAATATAAATTAAATAGTTAAAATAGTTTTAATTGATTTGCATATGAATCCGAAAATATTTCGTTTAAAATGTTATCATTCATTTATTCATTTATTCATTTCCAATATTAGATGATATGAAAATCGCCATTTATTACAAAATTCAATTAGCTAAGCATTCAATATATTCTAATAGATTTGAATTAATTTTAGGATTAAAATGGTATCATTCATCTATTTTTTATTTATTTCCAATATCAGGCTAAACTTTTATGAAATTCAATTAGCTAAGCATTCAGCAATTCTAATAGATTTGATAATTGGGAATGATTTTAGGATTAAAACAATATCATTTATCTATGTTTTACTCATTTCCAATATCAGATAATGTGAAAATCGTCATTCTAAGATATTCAATTAGCTAAATATCATAATAATTCTACATTGATTAACTTCGTTGTATATTTATTTATGCTATCAGTAACATCCTTTTTTTTCCTTCGCCCTTTTATTTTCAATTTTATTTTCAGGATTTTTTTGCGGGATTTCGAAAAATTAGATGTGGATATACGTAATAATTACCCTAGCAAAGATAATGACAATTGCTAGGGAATGTAAAAATGACGAATGTGAAAAGCGATGGCCTGGCGCAATATGTCGTAGTGGACGTTGTACATGTCCACAAGATAGTATTAGGTTAGTAAATATATGATTAGTAATTATTTATTGTATGAAAAGGGAAACAGATAAGATCGTTGAGGTGGATATATTTTAAATTGAATAATGAGAATAAACAAAATTGTAATAAATGACGGACGGGGTATATTTTATGTTAAACACCGTAATGACGGACGGGGAATATTTTATGTTGAAATGTGAGGATAGAGAAAAAAAACCATAATGATGGATCGAGTATATTTTCATGTTAAAATATGAGGATAGAGAAAAAACCATAATGATGGACAGGGTATATTGTTATGTTGAAATGTGTGGATAGGAAAAAAACCGTAATGACGGACGGGGAAGATATAGATATTCGATGTTGAAATGTGAAGATAGGAAAAAAACGGTAATGACTAACGGGGGACGATAGATAGATATTTGATGTTGAAATTTGAGGATAGAAAAAATATTTGAAAAATACATTGAAAAAAATTAGATACAGCAATGCAGAAGAAAAAGTGATTCCAATGGTTGGATATGTTTATCGCTGATAGATGCTAGTACTGGAATGCTTGGACCAGTATTTACATGTCCATTACCGAATGGTACCGGATATCGATCAATATTATATCGTAATAATGAACCGGTATTTTGTCAAACATTCGAAGAGAGTAATTGTCCGAATGGATATGAATGCATACAATCAGTTGGACTTAGTACAATAACAGGAAATGGTGTTTGTTGCCCAAGAAAAGGTAATTTAAAATTTATAGTGATTCTTTTTTTTTTTATCATGATTTTAATTAAATGCTAAAATCATGAAAAAAAAAATCACTATAGAAATAACATTTGATAGAATTGCTTTGTTTTAATCGTTAAATAAGATTTATTTTGTTTTCTTTTTTTTAATTTTAATTTTTACAAATTTATCGAAAAATTAATTTTAGTATTTTTTTGTTTTAAAACAAACTAAAATTTTGTAAAACCATTTAGGTAGGAATTATTAATTGTTGCAGAGACAGCTTGTCTTCAGCCAGTTTGTCAATCAGAAGATGGATGGCTTATACGTTGGTATTTTAACGGTGAAACATGTGAATCATTTCGATGGAATCCGGAAGTTGAAACAAGCGCCAATAATTTTGTCACTAAAGAACATTGCCTATCATATTGCGCATTGGTAATCAATCAATTAATCATTTGATAAAACTATTATCATTATTGCTAATTATCATTGTCGCTAATTATCATTCTTTTCTTCATAAATACAAATTTCAGTAATCTCTACTTTTTCAAAATAATTTTTACTAATCATTTTTTTATCAAGGAAAAGAAAGAAAATAAATAAATTATAAATATATAAAAATAAAAATAAAAAGAAACAATTAGCTGTAAAACAAATTATTTTAATTAACAAATGATAAACAAATGATATTAGTTAAATGTAAACAAATTATTTTAGCTAACAAATGAAACAACAACAATGCAAGACGAATTCAACATTGGTAATTTATCTTCATTGCAACATTCAAGTATTGAAATTTTAGAAAAACAGGAATGAATTCACTGATATGATCACAAATGAATTCACTGATATGATATGATATGATACTATACTTTCTCTTTTCCTTCTTCATTTTATATTTTTTATTTTACAAAATTTCATTCTTTCTTTTTAATCAAAATATTTCCTTCGATTTAAAAAGATATAGCAGAAGAAGAAGAAAGGAAATATATTTGATAATGTAATTGAAATATTTTGAAATGTTCAATTTCTGTTAATTTAAAAATATTTTAATATTAATGATATCTGAGTGGAACGATATGAAACAATTATTGTTAACAGTTTTCATATTATCATTATCATGATATCAAAGTTCAATACAAATATTATCAGATAAATATTTTTATAATTTTCATTTTTGTTTTTCTTTTCCACTTAATACCACATTTTACAATATACTTGGTAGAAATGATAATGAAATAGAAGTATTATTAAATCATAATATATATTAAGGCTAAATTCATTATTAGCAAATAAGCGCTTTTGTTAAATATTGATTAATTATTAAAGGATAATTTTGTCGACTGATTATTCGATTATCAGAAAACAGTCTCTTGAAAGGTAATCTTATTGATTTGATTATTAGCGTTGACCATCGATAAACATGCATCCTTAGTAATTAATATATAATAATAGTACCTTTATATAATTATAATAGTAGTACATATATATAATAAAAATCACATGATTAATATAATTTAGTACATATGATTAGTAAAATTAGCCATAATTTATAAATCATTCTAAAAAACTGCGAAATAAAATAGTATTGCGTTGGGAATGCAAAAATGTATTGAAAGTGGAGTAAGGATTTATGAATTATATATAAAATCACTGTAAAGTAAAATCACTATAAAATCACTGTAAAGAATGAAGAAATCACTGTAAAATCATTGTAAAGAATAAAGAAGAAATGAAGAAACGTAATAAACTGAATAGTTGTACAGAATTGAATTAAACTTCAATTTTTTGCAATTGAAAGCTTCGGCCAAATAATTATCATTTTAAGAACAATAATCGCTATTATTTCTGTTACTATTCATTATTATCATTATAATAATCATTATTATCATTAATTATTGTTATAATAATTATTATTATTATAATGATTATTATTAATAATTAGAATTGTTATTATCAATTGTTGTTATTGTTATTATCAATTATTAATAATAATAATAACAATAATTAAGATTATGTGAAAAATATGTGCTTGGAGGAGTGATAAATGCAATTAGCGAAATTCCACTATGGTAACCTGAAATTATCCTTAAATCAGGATATAATATCAGCAGTACTGCAAAAAAAAAATTTTTCTTGTATTGAACGATGCTGTAATGATCGTGGCAAACTAAATAATATAATTACAGTATACACCTGCACAAAAACATATAATACAAGAACGTATAAGAAAGGTATGCATTTTAGACAAAAAAAATTTTTAGAATAAATTAAGAAACAAAGAGTGTTCGAGAAAAAACGAAAATCAATTAGCCATTTTGGAATTATTATGGTTTAAGATGGATCTTATTATCAGTGAAGAACAAAAGGAAACATAATTATAATTTACTATCATAATAAAATAATCTAAAAAAATAATGTGAAATTATGAAATTTTTATCAATTGTAAAATTTGAAAAAATAAAACAAAATATGTAATAAAATATCAGAAATTAAAAAAGAAATAGAAATTAGGAATAAAAAAATATTAGAAATAAAAATCAGAAATGAAGAAATAAATAAACATAAACATGATACTTATATATATATGTATGCAAATAATAAACATAAACATGGTACTTTTATATATATATATGCAAATAATAAACAAACATGAACATGGTACTTATATATTTGTATGCAAATAATAAATAAACATAAACGTGGTACTTTTATATATATGCACGCAAATAATAAATAAACATAAACATGGTACTTATATATATATATATGTGTGCAAATAATAAATAAGCATAAACATGGTACTTTTATATATGCAAATAAGTCAGGTTTAGATAATACTAGAAAGAATGGACAAAAAAAAGGGAAGAAAGAAGAAGATGAACTGTCATCAAATGTTGATTAAGTTATGTCAAGCAAATGATGCTTAGATGATTTATCGCATGTAAAAATTTGAATTTGAATTTTACTCCATCATTAATTTAAACTTTAACTTACTATCATTCTTCTTACTTTCTCAACTTCCCCATTATAATCAATTATTACACTTGTCATTTTAGCAAATATATCTTGTCATTTTATCATTATATCTTGTCAATTTCACTCATAGCAATTTATCTTCTATCATTCAAAATTAAATATCAGTAAACATCATTGATGGAAATTATAAATTATATTATTGCATTACTCGTAAATGACTATTGTTAATAATATTGAATGAAAAGAAAATCACTTCTACAATTACGTTTGAAATGACTATATTAATTAGATAGGTAATTATGAAAGATGAATTAATTAGTTTATTCAAAATTTGTAACAATTTGTTGAAAATTAAAATCCTAAAATTAGATTAATATTAATGGATGCATTTCTTCGTAATTTTGCCTTTTATTTCTTTTTGAATGAAAAAATAATCAGTTCAAAAAGATCAATCAATAGATCCGTTAATATATTTTCAATTAGGATAATTAATTTTATGCAATTAACATTCTTTAATGAAGAGAATATTGATAAAGGATGAATATTGATAAAGAAAATGGTTGATAAAAGATTATGAGTAAATGAAGGAAATAAAAGATTATAAAAGTTAATGAAGAGAATATTGATAAAGAGAATGACTGAGGATAAAGAATTATGGGTGAATGAAGAGGATATTGATAAAGAGAATGATTGATAAATGATTGTGAGTAAATGAAGAGAATGATGATAAAAGATTACGAGTAATGAAGAGAATATTGATAAAGGATGAGTATTGATAAGGAGAATGGTTGATAAAGGGCTGCGAGTAATGAAGAGAATATTGATAAAGGATGAGTACTGATAATGAAAATGATTGATAAAGGATTATGAGTAAATGAGGAGAATATTGATAGAGGATGAGTACTGATAAAGGATGCTGCAGTAATAATGATAATATTTCAATGAATTACTATCTCCACTTATAATTATGAAAGTTGATAATCATCATTCTTTTTTCTATTATTAAAATTCTTTATATTCGTTTTCTTTAATGAATTAAAAATGTATTACAAATGAATTATAAATGAAGCAAATAATTCATTAAAGTATTATCATTATTACAATAGCATCCTTTATCAATATTGTCTTCATTTACTCATCGGTAATTCGATACAGCGTACAAAGGTAGTTTTATCTAATTATCACTTTTATCAACACTTTCTTCATTCACCTATACCGGTAATTCGATGATAAGTTAATGCTTTCGTAATACTTTATAACATAAAATGCACAAAAGCACTAAACAAAGATAATGATAACAATTATGAAAGCGATAATGAAATACTCAGTAATCATAATAAAACGTTATTATCAATATATCGGAGAGGTTTACAGATAATATACCAAATTTCAAATTATTATTGTTTAGCCTATAAATAAATATATATATATATAGTTTATTCCGAAATTCATAAAATAAGTTAATCCATTCTTTATGTAGCTTTCAACATCTATCAAAGATTATAGTTTCCGGAAAGTAATTTCTTGAAACGTATACTACATATATTATATTACGTATATTAATACCGATATGTTACACCGGTGAGATTTACAAATAATATACCAAATGTATAATTATTATTTTGTTTAGGCTATGTATGTAGTTTATTCCGAAATCCGTAAAATAATTTAATCTATTCTTTCAGTATTTTTCTATACCTATCAGGAATTATAGCTTCCGGAAAATATTGTGCTGCAACATTTGTTAGACTGCTTGATTAATTGTTAAACTGAATTTATAGATTATATACACTAAATTAATATTTCATTCTAACAATCTGAATAATCTAAATATATGGTTTATTTCGTAATTCATATAAGTAATTTAATTTGCTCGTAATATTCAGTATCTGTCAGAGAATATAGTTCCCTTTCGAAAAATACTTTCGTTGTTACATTCGTAAACGTTGGACTATTTGATTAATTGTCAAACTTAATTTATCGACGATACATACCAAATTAATGTTTCATTCATTACAACAAAATTGATGGAAATTAGGAGTTGAAAATGGGAAATACAACCAAAAGGTATAAAAAAGAAAAACAAAAATTTAATTTTAATTTAAAAACAACAAGTAATTAAAAATTTAATTTAACAAAACAATAAATAATTAAAAATTTAATTTAAAAAAAACAATAAATAATCAAAAATCGTTCAAAAAAAAAATTAAAAATTGCTTTAATTTTTAATTTAACATTATAATAATAGTAAAATAATTCAGAAAAGGAAGCATAATAAATTAAGGAATCTTATAAAACACAAATATTAACAAAAATTTTTATATATTAGAATTGAAATTAGTTAAAATTAAATAATGATACCAGAGATTGAGGTAAGAGTAATATACTATAGCATAAGACATAAAAACAGCTGACAAGACAGACAGACAGTAGCAACAAGTAATGCTGACAAATGAAATGATCATTAATGTGACAACGACTACTTTGTACCAGTTTGTGAAATGATTTTGATAGGTGTATGAATTGGTACTTCATTTTTTTTCATCCACTCCCCTGTTTATCCACTTCCCCCGCGATTCCTCATTAGTTTCTACCATAACGAGCGGTATAAATATGAAGAATTGTAGCAAAATTCTTTTTTTTTAAAAATTTTGATATAAGCAAATAAATGTTATCAATTCTTTTATTATCATTGTATTTGTTTGATTTGATTGTATTTAAATTTCCGGAAAAGTATTTGAACTTCCGGAAATTAAAAAATCACTATGCACTTTTTCTTTCTTTCTTTTTGCAAGAAAATAATACAGTTGAAATTGTTATTGTTAAAAAAAAATCGATAAGAAGTAATGTGTTGTTTATGTTGCATTCTTTTTGGATGGATGTATGTGCTTTCCATATTTGTTCTCTTTAAATTATTGACTATTTCATTTGTTGCAATTGCTTTCGTATGTGATATTTAAGCGTACGTGTTATGATGAGTGTTAGAACGTGCGAAAATTATTGCGTGAATTTGCAAAATGTTATTAATCATACGTGTATACATCTCATAGATTAACGTTAACATTGCGTTACACGTTAACGTTACAAAAATTAACGTTACACGTTAATTTTTCAATTTTCTTTTCATTCTTTCATGTATGCGAAATGTTTCAGATTTTAAGTGTCAATTTTAGTTAACAACTTAGTTAATACTTTGGTTAATAACTTTTTAATTAATAACGTTTAGATTTGAAGATACTGCGAAAAAGAATTTTAAGTTATATAGTATACTAAGTAATTGTGTAATTTAGGTTTGCATCGTTGGCTATGAATTGATTTTGCAAATTTTTAAAAGACAAAAGGAATTTTATTGCAGGTAAGGTGATCGATTTTTAAGTTTCTTTTGATTTTCATATTTATACGTGTTAAAATGTTCGGAAGTTACGGTACGGGAAATGGTAATGGCAATAAATTGAATTTACGAACTGAAATCCTGGAAGGATTATTGGCATCGATGGGTGACGGAAAAAATGCAAAAGTGAATTTACTGAAACAAACAATCATGCGAAATAAGACGGATATGGCGGGTGATGCTTTTCGTTCGCTCGATTTAATGCGACAGGTACGTTTTCTTCATAGGTGCACGATTTAAATATAGTACATAGGCTTAATTTATTTTAATTGCTCTATAATTACAAAAAGTTGATCCAGGATCGCTTCTTCTAAATCTAACTTGGAACATTTATCCTTATTAATTGAAGATAAGTTAATTTTGCCACAAACTTGGCATTAATAATTTTCGATTCATTTCTTGATAAAATATTGAGAGTAGGAAAATATTTTGAAATCCGTACATTTTCGAAATTGAGGAAAAATGAAGGAAAATATAGTTTAATGGATTGAAAGTTTAATGCATAATTTTCAACACTCATACTTTTTAAGAATCATAAGTGGAACTTTTTATGAAGCATTCAGCATAGTGTAACAATAAAAATTATATTTGCATTTGTTAGGTTTTTCAATCCGAAATGACTAATGAATTTCGGCAAATTATTGAACGACATTTAAGGACAACTTTTTCTCCAGCATTGGAAAATCTTCGGAGAAATGGATTGGTTCGTTTGAAGATTTTACTACGACTTTTTCTTATTTTGTTCTGATTAATTTCTATTATCTATGGTTAAGAGGGTGTGAAGAAAATCTGTTTCATTAAATTTGAAAGACAATTTAAGAGCTAATCAAGCAATAATGATGATTGCTTTTTTGTCGCATGATTTTTGCAGCTAAGATGCTTTAAACTAAATAATCACGTGACCCTTGTGATATTGCTACATTTTCCTTATTTTATATATACATAAAACATCTATGCTGCATGTTTTTTCAGTTTATATGTTTTATTCACGTTCTGTTTTGCATAAATATTCCTTCAGTCATCTAACCTCTTCCATTTTATATTCAGGAAGTAACAGAGGATGATATCAAATGTTTGTGCCGTAGCATTCTTGAAGCAGCTAAAAAGCCATTTCTCTGTGAGAAACAGATGGAAGGTTTCTCGGAAAGAGGACTAGAATCTCCAAAGCATGTTATTTCTTATTAATTTTATCAATTAATTAAGAGATAAAAATGCTTACTCCTTACTCAATCCCAAAAGAGGAATTGCAACAAATGCATATTTATTTCTTCGGTTTTATCATATGTCATTCAGCTAATTATTGTGTTTTCAAGCAGCTTGTCAAAAATATAAAGTATATTCTTCTTAGATAATCAAGTTCATCATTAAGTAGAAGGTATAATTATAAAGATAAGTTGTGTAAATATACTTACTGTCGAGTCAAAATTATCTTATCGTGCTTAAAAAATTAAGAATCAAATCTGTTGACGTTCAATATTTGTTGCAGTTTTCCGGTTAGTACTGAATCAGATCTAGATAGCGAAACAAGTGTTGTTAATTATGTCGTACATCATCGTTCAACAAACATTCCTCCACGAGGAAGAAAACGTGGCCGTCCTCCTAAAGTTAGACCTTACGGATTGGTTTTTTGTTGTATCAATTTTTATTTTATAGAGAAACCATGGCATATATTTATATGCTTAGAACTTGTTAATTTTAACTTTCCAGACGGATAATCCTGGTAGAAGTACTCCGTCGTATGTCCAAATTAGTGAAATGGTCACTGAATTAGATTTGGCCAAGGTATTTCTTACGTTCATTGTTTTTTGTTAAATGAGTAACAATGGAATATTTCTTATTTCGTAATGCAATACGGTTGCGCTAGATATAAAAGATTATTGGATTGAAATTTGAAATCATGAAATCATACATTAAAGTCGTAAAATCTGAAATATGTATTGAAGAAGTTTCAAATGTGTAGCCTAAAATATGTCATTTTTAAAGTGGAATCCGGATCGTGTATATTCATCATCACAATTTATCCTTATATCAAAATTTTCCCGAATGCTGATGTTGCGCAATTATCAAGAGTTACTCATGAGATATCCAACTATTTTCCGGGTAATTTGAATTTATTGAATTGATTTTAAATAAGAAAAAATATCATTCAAATGCACCCATTCAAGAAGGTTTAGACCTATAATCTAAAGTACAGCGCAGTGCTATTACTTATGGTTTCCCTCTTCTTGTTTTATTTCTCTAATCAGAAGTAAGAGGAATAACGTATGTTTATCACAGATTTCTGAAATATATCACATCTCATCTAACAGTGTATTTATTCCCTTGTTCGATAGAATGACGAAATAATTTGATTTTCTTGTTCTTCCATACTGTTGTGTTTTTAACTGGCTCCTGCAAGAAAAGTATTGTTGGTTATAATTGAAGTAATGTTTGACTTATTAAATTATTAGGTTAATTTAAAATGCAATATTTTTTTCAAAATAAAACTCACTTTTGGATGAACTATTTCAAGTTGTTCTTATGTGATCAGCTTTACTTTAAACTTCTTAAAATCTCAGTACAGTGGTGATGAGATGGATCGAAAATGGCTGATCAAAAATGGACTTACAACTCGATTAAATGGGAAAATTTACTTGGTGTTGCTGAATGATGCAGCTGAAATTGCCAGCGCAGAAGGACTTTCGTTGGTTTATTTTCTTTTTTTTCCTCCAAATTTCTTATCCCTCTTAGCTTTCATTGCTTATCCTAATCAATGCTTAATACGAATCGTAGTCCTTGTTAAAAAAGTATACTATGATAGATAGAAGTCGCATTAACAATCACTTTTATGATTTCTATGCCTTAACGCTGGAATTGCAGATAGGAAGGACTAAAGTTTCCTTTCTTTTTAAATATATTCCAATTCCATTTTTGATTAAAGAGACTGTTCATGGGATGAGATTTTACTTGTTTGCAGTTTATCATATGTTCGTGCAGTAATATCCCTAACATGGAGTTCATAGTCACTCTGGTGGATTTATTGAACTAATAATTTCAATTTCATTTTAACTTCGTTTAATTTTGATTAGGTTTTTAGTTTCAATGAATTAGATCTTTTAATTTCAAATTACTTCATCTTATCATTTTTGTTCTGCAGTGCCAATTGTCTCTGGGAAGAAGAATATATTGATAGGAGCAATTTGCTATCTTTTTAATTTTCAGTTTAATTTTGGGATTATTTTGCCATTCAAATAAGATATGTGGGGTCGATTTTGCTACGATAAACTATAGAACATAATTTGAAGATCTACTTTTAACGGCGAGATTTCACAAAAGAAATCAATTTAAGATGATTGAAGCTATCATTCACTTCCATTTTGATATGATACAATACTGAGATTATAATTAAAATGAATAGAGCAATTGATTGAAACGTTTCAACAATACATAATTTTCATCAATTCTTTTTAGATGTGTGGTTGATGTTTTGAAATGCTTCGCGTTTTGCGTACCGCCATCAATGATTCTGAAAATGAAGCAAGAAATGCGAAAAGTTTTCGATACTTCAAAAAGCGGTTAAAATTAATCTCCATAAAAATACAGGTTCATAAGCGTGCCTTCATGTTTTATGGTGCTTTCATACAACTTTGAATTATGCAATATAAGTTCTGTATATAGTAGCCTTTTACATTCTAAACCATGATAATTTAACTTACAAGTAAATTTTAATTTTGTCTTTGAAATACACGAATTTTTTAAACCGTTTAAGTTTTAAAATTTGATTTATGTTTTCTAAGAAGAAATATTCCGAAGATTTTCTCGATTTGTTATATTTTATAATATTTAATTTAATAATTGTATTTTTTTCTTTCCAGCTATATGGATAACATCACATAATAGTTTTGTTAAATGATGAATAAAGAGTAAAAGTAGAAGTTAGGAGGCAAAATTAGAAAAATGACTAATTACAGCTAAAACTTAGCTATCATTATTAGTTTCTGATAATGATGATTCATTGATATGTACTTTTTCATTTCATTTATCGTGAGTATATCATATAGAACTATGTGATGATTACTCAACTACATGCTATATACCTACTCTTATGAGGTTATCATGTTTACCGTTTAATTGACTTATTTTAATTCGTTAACTTTGTTTCGTTTAGTCAAGCCTTTTTTTATTATTTCGTTTAACTTTCTTCATGCATTATTTTAAAAATTATTTGTGTCGTTATTTTAATGATCATTGTAATTATATTTGCCGGGTGTTATACATATAATTAATACAGAGTATTGTTTCAATCGATATAATTGAATATTTTTGACCTGAAATGATGGAAAGTTAATAAAAGCAATTCTAAAAACAAAAGCAAAAATTTGGCATAAAAATTTGACTAAAAGTAAAAGTTCGTTTTCTTTCATTTATTTATTTCAAATTCAAAAATTTCTTTTTGTCACCAAATCATTTTAAAATTGATTGATTAAAATTAAAAATAAGCCAATCATTCAAGTGAGTGGTTGATTTGTTGCTTTAAAGATAAAAATTGATTGATTTTCTTTTTCTATTTATGATTGTTTAAGAGAATTTTTATTGTTCTTCAAGTCAATTAATGCTTTCATATTGAAATAACCAAATTTGTCCATTAGATAATTAATTGAACATTATTTATTTACAGATTTTTCAATCCATTAATTAATAAAGCAATCTATTAATTAATAAAATTTTGCTTAATGTTGTAAAAATTTACAGAATTTTTCCACACAATTTTATCATTTTCCACACAATTTTATTTATAGGAATTTGAAATTTTTGATAAGACATAATTTATTCATTCATTTTACAATTTTTTAAATTTGAATGGATCAAAATCATTTCGATAAATATTATCATGGTTTTTTGACGAAACGTGATATTAAACCACTACTAAAAAAGGATGGTGATTTCCTGATACGGAAAATTGATTGGAAAGGTTTTGCGCTTATTTGGATACATATTATTAAGGATGGCAAATTTATTCCGTATTTTTGCATCATTCTTCTCTGAAATTCAAATCTTCTTTTATGCTTAAGTTTGGAGTTAGAGTTGAATTAGTTAAAATGAGAATTCAGGTGTTTAAATTTAAGAAATTTTTTCAAGTAATAATTTAATACTTTTAGGTGCAATAACCTTATCACTTGATGTATACGCAAATAAAGAATTAAAGCATTTTATAATTAATCAAAATGCAAATGGTGAAATTTATATTGATAAAGTTAAGGTCAATATTTTTTATCAATTACAATTGAACTGATATGTTAAGTAATTTCAGTGATTTTAATGAAGTATTGATATGATAAAAAAGTATCACAATTAATAATATTTAATATTTTTTGTTGTGTAAAAATTTCCAAAAAAGAAAAACAGAATTTATTCGGAACTATTATTAATAATTAAATAATTAACTTTTAAGCAGAATTTTTTTAATTATTTTAAAAATATTCGTTTTATTTCTTTTGGCAACTTATCAGAATTCAATTTTAATGTTAGAGGAATTTTTTCGGTAAATTTCTATCGTAATATTTATCTGTCAACTTTGATATCGTGCCTATCAGAATTCATTTTAATGTTAGAGAAGTTTTTTCGGTAAATTTTCTTTGTAACATTTCATCTATCAACTTTGATATCATGCCTATCAGAATTCGTTTCATTGTTAGAGAAATTATTTCGGTAAATTTTCTTCGTAACATTTCATCACTTTGATATCGTGCCTGTCAGAATTCATTTTAATGCTAGGGAAATTTTTTCGGTAAATTTTCTTCGTAACATTTCATCTATCAACTTTTGATATCATACCTGTCACAATTCACCTTAATGTTAGAGAAATTTTTTGGGTAAATTTCCTTCGTAACATTTCATCTGTCAACTTTCATATTGTTTAAATGCATTTTCTTTCCTATCAAAAGCACTCTTGAATTTTACTCAAATTTCTCTTTTACTCGTGAACTAAAAAAGGAAAATCCATTTCTTCAAAACTTGTATACATCATTTTAAAAACGAAGAATTAAAATGAAGCAGAATGAAACAGGATAATATTTTCCGGAATAAATAAACGGATAGAGAAAGAATTAGAGAGAATTGGATAAATTTTTGAGGAAAGGGATATCATTTTAAAAACGAATTATTATTTTTTGGGAATGAATAAACGGATAGAAAAAGATTTAGAGAGAATTGAATAAATTTTTGTAGAAAGCGATAAATTAGGAAATATTTAAAATTTTAGCAATCATATCTATATTTATAAATTTTGCATAAAATTTACAGAAGAAATCGATCGATGAATTAATTGAATGGCATCTATCAGGAAAAAAGCCTATAACACAGAATAGCCAAATAGTCCTAAAAAATGGAGTTCCAAGGCCTAATTGGCTTGTCAAAAATGAGCAAGTAAAAATGATCAAAAAACTTGGTGAAGGAGCATTTGGCGAGGTCATGAAATAAGTTGTTAATTTTAAACAATTGGAATAAAAATGATTTAAAATTAAAATTAAACTTTTAAATTTATAGTTTGTACTCCATTAGTTAATTAATTGTAATGCAGACAATAGATTGTTTTAATTGCTTTTATTGATTACTTTAATGATTAAAAGTTTTATTTTTACCGGATCCAGTAAAATGTCCGCCAAAATTTCTATTCATCCTTTTTTCTTCTTCATTTAAATGCTTTTATTCATTAATTATTAGTAATTAATTTAAAATTACTCCCTTTAAAAGTTATTAGTAATCTTTGAGTTAATTAACAGAAAAAGATTGAAGTTCATCTTTTTAAAAAATTTTTCACTAAAAATTAGCCTTTTTGTTTTTCGCTTTTTCTTTCTTTTGTTTTTTTAAATTAAAATTTAATTTTAGGTTTATTGTGGTGAATATTCAGATTCAACTGGTCATACACATTTAGTGGCTATAAAAACAATGCATGATAAGGCTTCACGTGAAGCACGTCTTAATTTTCTTAAGGAAGCACGAATTATGCGTAAATTTGATCATCCAAATATTGTTCGCATTTTTGGTATTGTTGTTGATCAATCACCACTACTTATATTAATGGAACTTTGTGAAGGTGCTTGTTTGCCAAGAAATAATTATATCGTTTAATTATATTCAACAACAATATTTTATTTTATAGTTTATACTTAATTAATATTCGATAATATTTTATATTTTATTTTACACCTTATACTGGATTTTTGTAAAAAAGGCAATTAAAATTGTGCCATTTTAATATCTGAATATGATACCTGAATTTAATAATCATTTAATATTTGAATATCTGAATACTTGAATTATTATTATGATCAATGTGTAATCATTAATGTAAGCAATAGAAATGAATTGCTTCATTTTTCATCAGTTTCATTAAAATTAAATTAAATAATTATTTAATTACACGAACTTATAAAATTGAATTGTTAATTTATTATTAATTAACATATTAAGTAAGGAAATAAAATTGTTATAAGTATAAATAAGAAGAATCTCATCGCTAAGCTACAAATATCTGTTAGTATTTTGGTAATTGATGTCTAATGATAATTTTGAGAAAGAATTTCCCGATATTTCTCGAAAGAAAAAATACAACGACAAATTTTTATTTAATTCAACATATAGAATGTTTTATTTTATATCATTATTAATAAAAAATAAAAAGTAACGGAATAAATTAGATAAATATAAAATAATTCAGGTGGATCAACACTATCATATTTACGTAAGAATCGTGGAATGATTTTACCACGAATAAAATTGCGATTTATAACAGAAAGTGCTTCAGGTTTAAAATATCTCGAGCAAAACAATTGCATTCATAGGTAATTTTTCAATTATAAAAAAAACTTTATTAATTAAATTAATTCTTTCAGTATTTTTCATTATGAAATAATATTACTGAAAATGAGTAGTAATCAATTACTTTTACAATTACTTCATATATTTTACCACTAAGTAATTATCAGTTTATATAGATATATTTATATAGCAGCTAGAAATTGTTTGCTAACACGAAATAATATTACTGAAAATAAGTATTCAATTACTTTTGCAATTACTTCATATATTTTACCACTAAGTAATTATCAGTTTATATAGATATATTTATATAGCAGCTAGAAATTGTTTGCTAACACGAAATAATATTACTGAAAATAAGTACTCGATTACTTTTACAATTACTTCATATATTTTACCCATTGAATAATTATTAGGTTAACATATCTTTTCTTTTTAGAGATATAGCAGCTAGAAATTGCTTGCTAACACGAAATGATATTACTGAAAATAAGTATTCAATTACTTTTACAATTACTTCATATATTTTACCCATTGAATAATTATTAGGTTAACATATCTTTTCTTTTTAGAGATATAGCAGCTAGAAATTGCTTGCTAACACGAAATGATATTACTGAAAATAAGTATTCAATTACTTTTACAATTACTTCATATATTTTACCCATTGAATAATTATTAGGTTAACATATCTTTTCTTTTTAGAGATATAGCAGCTAGAAATTGTTTACTAACACGAAATCATCATATTAAAATAAGTGATTTTGGTATGTCCGATGAAAAAACACCAATTCAAGATAAAAGTCTCGATAAAGTAGGAATAATTTCGTTCTCCTAATTTCAAATTTTCCATTTCAAAAAGATCTCCGAATAATTTCAAAGTATTATTCATTTCATTCTGTTATTGCAAAAAAAAGGAAATGTTTTTTTAAATCTAAAAATCCATTACAAATCCATTCTTAATTTATTGCAAAAAAAAAAAAAAGGAATTAATAATATCACATCAATTTCATTGATATTATCATATCAATTTCATAATATTATATCAATTTCATTGATATTTGAGTAGTAAAGTTTGAATTCTATTGATATTATCATTCTGAATTATTTCAATATTATTACTAAATTAGCAAATATTTTGTAAACTGGTATCAAAATTGCATAATTAAACAAGTAATTATGATTTGCCTAGAATAATTTTTGTTTTTTGTTTTAGTTATTAAAAAAATGGAAAAGTGGAATGATTTTTAAAAGTTGATTTTAAAATCGTAAATATAAATGATAATTTATCAATTTTACGTAATAATTTTATATTCTTGTAAAAAATTTCGAGGAAAATCTTGTACTCATCAATTTGAATCAAATGATTGTAAGTACCATAAATGATTATAGGTACCAATCAAGTGGTTAGCACCAGAAACAATGCAAAATCGAATTTATTCAATCAAAACCGATGTATGGTCGTATGGTGTTATGGTAGGTGCACTGTTGGTATAATTTATTACTTTCGTTTGAAATGATCAGTTCTTTCCGGTAATTAAATAATGATCGATAATCTAAATGATCATATATGAAGTAGCTGTCATAATCAATTACATATAATTAAATATTTCATTTGTTATAATTAAATATTTTATAATTCGATATTTTATTGAGCAGATAAAATAATTATGAAATTTGTTGATTTAAATTAATAAGATAAGATTGAAGTTAAGTCTAAAATTATAATAATTATTTTGCAACATCTGTAGGTTTTGCTTAATTTCAATTCCATTTAATTTGCATTGAAATTGCAGAATGGTTTAAAATTGGTTAATTTTAATAAAGCATTGTTTTAATTTTACAAAATAAAGATAAAAACAAAAATAACGATGAAAATTTGCATGTTTGGGAAGTATATTCGGAAGGTTGTGAACCATATCCATCATTATCAAATATTCAAACTAGAGCTAAAATTATCGTTCAAAATTATCGTATGGATATGCCTCAGGTATCCGATCATTTTGTTATTTCAAATTTAACTATTCAAGTAATTAAATAATTAATTGAATTGAATTAAGCATATTACTCGAGCATAATTTAGCAACACTGAATTGTCTAAACTATTAAATCTTGCATGAAATATTTTGCTTAAATTTATGCTTAACTTACTAAATTTTAATTCAATCAATTCAACATATTACACTTTAACTATTCAGATATTTAGTGAAGTTACAGTAAATGGAATATCATTCAGTATAGTTTAATTATTGAAATTATTAATTTGTCATTTAATTATTAAAATTCATTATTTCGATTTCCTTTGCTGCTAATTTCTTTCATATTCAATTTAGAATAAAACTGAAAATTTTAACTATTCACTCAATTAATCTAAATAAAATTTCACCTATCAATTGCTTGCAATTAATTAAAATAATCTTTTCAGGGTACACCACCAGAAGTAACATCACTTGTTAGCAAATGTTGGGCTAAAGATCCCAGCGATCGGCCAACATTTGCAAAAATTCATGAAGAATTGCAAGGATTAAGTGCTACAATCACTGAAGCTACTACCATATCAACAAGAAGTGAAGCGGAATGAAAAATTTTAAATTATATTTTTGCAAAAGTTTTGTCAAATAAACATATTCCTGCAACTATTGCTATTACTGTATTTGAATAAAGGAAAGGTAAGAAAAAGGTGATGATTAAATTAATTCGTAGAATAATTATGCTATTGCTGTTGTTGTTGTACAAAAATAATTGAAATAAATTTAGATTTAGAAAACAATATTTGAATTTGAATTTCTAATAAAACAATATCTGAAATTAAAAAGTAGTATTTATAAACATTTGAATTTGAACTATTATCTGAATTTAAAAACAATAATAAAACAATACTTGAATTTGAATTGTTAATAAAATATCTATTAAACGAATAATTGTTCAAAAGAAAGCATTAATATTATTCTTAATGTATCATAATATATCATATATCATAATCATATATCATAATATATCATATATATTATATTATTCATATTATATCATAATATATCATATATCATGATCATTATCATATATCATAATATTATAACAATAAATTTTGAATGCATTTTAAAATTGATCGAAGAATTTTTTAATATTATTAGAAATTATTATTTGACAATTGGAAAATTTTGTTTTTTGGATTCAATGTGTTACGTTTTATTTACAGAAAATAAATATAAATAAATATGAAAAAAGAAGTAAACAAATAATAAATAGAATTTAAATGAGTGAATGAATCATTTAATAAACATAAATATAACAATGGTAATGGAATGAAGAAGAAAACAAATAAGTAAATACATAATTGAAAAGAATTAGACTTAATATTTATTATTTATTTATTTGATGATAACAATTTTTTAACTATTATAGATATGTTATTTTAATTGCTTATATATATAAGAAATGAATTTTTGGTTAGTGATGATGTAATTGTTACTTTTTGGATTATTAAAATTTAATATTTTAAAAATTGAATATATCATTTTAATGCTTATTTCATATTTAATGTTTATTTCATTGAAAATTAATTATGCTTATAACTTCTGTTGTTTACTTTTTTTCACATTAAAAAATGACATCCGATTGAAACATAATGGAAATTAATTATACTTACAACTTCTATTGTTAAAAATTGAATATATCATTTTAATGCTTATTTCTTATTTAATGTTTATTTCATTGAAAATTAATTATGCTTATAACTTCTGTTGTTTACTTTTTTTCACATTAAAAAATGATATGCTATTGAAACTTACTGGAAATTAATTATACTTACAGCTTCTATTGTTTACTTGTTTATAGCTTCTATTGTTTACTTTTTTAATCAGATTAAGAAAATGATATCCGATTGAAATTTTCTTTATTTCACTAAATATTTCGTAAGAGATGGATGAAAATAAGAATTTAAATAAATCTGAAATTTTTTGATCTAAAAAAAAGAAAATGGAAAAAAAAGGGTAAAATAATATCATCAAAATAGAAAATAGTTGAAAATTTTCAACAAAAAAATTTAACAAAAATTTATTTGTTTAAAATTATCCGTAGAAAAAAAAAAGTGATATTACAAATGAATGAATTATAAAATAATTTCATTTCAAAATTTCACAAAATATTAATTTGAAATTATGAAATAAAATTTGCTTCCAAATCATAAGATTATACCAAAAATAATGTTTAATAATGTTCCGTGGTTTGCAAAATTGAAAATATATAATAATGTTCCGGTTTCAAAAAATTATTGATAATAATGTTTTCCGGCTCAAAAATTTTATATAATATTGTTCCGGTTTGTCAAGATTATTTAAGATTTCTTTTCTTTCTTCAAGAAATTTCTTGCAAACATTTATAACATAGATTTCCTTAAATTGCTATTTAATTTTTCAAGCAATTTTTTTTTTTCATCACTATCATAAACATTTTATATTATATCGGTGAATATGAACGACGAATTAGCCGGTAAAGGTAAGCATAAATTTTAAATTTTAAATTTAAATATTTAAAATATTTTGTAAATGAAATGATTAAAAATGTATGTGATTGGTATTCTTCTATTTATTTTTTGTTCTAAAGAATTATGCAACTATTGGTAATTATGAATTAATAAATATAATTAATTATAACTGTGAAATTAATACTATCGTAAAACAAACATTGTTTATTTTCAATTTATACTGAATTATAAGTATTGTTTATTTTTTCATTCATACTGAATTATAGTTGTAAAATAAGCATAGAAAATAATATATGATAATAAATAATATTGTTGTAAATACTAAATTCTTTTTTGTTATAAATAAATGAAATGCAAATTGTAATTGTCAACAAATTAATTGTAATTGTAAGTAAAACTACGAATAATAAATAGTTGTAAATTAAAAGCCTAAAATTATTATTTCCAAATTTAGAATGTCGATTATTTTTCCGAAATATACCAACAATTATAACAACATTAATAATAATAATAACACTGTAGGAAAATTTATTAATTATACTAACATATTAATTGTATTAATATAGTATAAAATGATAAAGTGTGATGATTAAAAAATGCTGTCGAACTTTGAACTTTTCGTTTGAAATAATTTGCACAATTTTTCTAATGAGGAATTATTATTACGTGTCTTTTGCTTAAGGAAGTAAAATATAAAATAATGAAATTACATAATACGCTTATACTGTAATCTTATCATTCCGGATTATTGAATATTCCGAAAAAAATCCAGTTAAATAACATCACTAGAAATACTGAAACTAGAACTACAACTATTAGCTTAATTATCAAATGTTATTAGGAAAAATTTAACTGGAAACAATATTATAACCGGAACGTAGAATTTACACTGTCAATAAATATGCATTACATTGCAATATTACGAAATTAAAATTATGGGAAAAATTTCTTTGAATAAATCAGATATGATCAATTGATGTATAAATTTCGGTATAACGTAAATGCTACATTTTAATCAATATAATGTAAATTTAATAATTAATATTATATCATATTGCAATTAACATTTATCCGTTTTTTAATTAGTCAATAATTTTATTACGCTAACACACACATGCACCAATATTCAAATTCTGGCGGATACTTATTAATATATATAATTTATTAATTATTTAAATATATTATTGTTTTATAATTTCTATTGATATCTTTTTCTAATTTCCATTCTAATTAATTTTTCTAATTTCTATTTTTATTAATTTCTATTACTAGTGATGTTATTTGGAATAAAAAAGAAATATATTTGAGCAACTTATTGAATATATAATTAATTAATTACCTAATTATGCTATTGTTTTTTAATTCCTATTAACATATCCTTTTCATTTCCATTATAATTATTTTTTTAATTTCTATTTCTACTAATTTCTATTAACATTGGAATGAAAAAAGTAATTTGAGTAGCTTACTGAATATATAATTAATTAATTACCTAAATGTGTTATTGTTTCTTAATTCCTATTAACACATCCTTTTAATTTCCATTATAATTAATTTTTTTAGTTTCTATTCCTACTAATTTCTCTTAATATTGGAATGAAAAAAAATATATTTCAGTAACTTACTGAATATATAATTTATCAATTACCTAATTATATTATTGTTTTACAATTCCTATTAATATATCTTTTTAATTTCTATTATAATCAATTCTTCAGTTTCTATTAATATTGATGTTATTTGGAATAAATATATATATTTAAGTAATGATTTCACATTTCTAGTTAAGAATGGAAATAAAACTATCAAACAAAAAGGATGAAAAATCGATTAATACTTAAATAAAATTTTCAATTCAAAAATTCGAAATAATTTTTAGAGAGCGAGAAACGATTATTAATGGTTAAAGTTGATATAAATAATGATGGGAAGAAGTTGCACGAAATGATAAGATTAAAAGAATCAGATGATAAGCAAATAATAAAACGAAATGATTTGATGAAAAATGATAAGCCAAGAGAAACTTGGGATCGAAAAGCCGATTTTCTCCTATCTGTTATTGGCTTTGCTGTTGATTTAGCCAATGTTTGGCGTTTTCCATATTTATGCTTCAAAAATGGCGGAGGTTTGTTTTTTGTTTTGTTTTTAAAAAATCCATAAAAAATTTATGATAAATTTAAAATCATGATAAATTCATAAAATCATGAAGAAAATCATGATAAAAACAATGATAAAGTTTTGCATGATAAATTTCGAAATTGATAAATTGTTTAGAAATATATATTATGTATCCATGAAAATTTTATAATAAATTTAAAATCATGATAAATTCATAAAATCATGACGAAAATCATGATAAAAACAATGATAAAGTTTTGTATGGTAAATTTCGAAATTAATGAATCGTTTAGATGAAATATATACTATGTTTAATCTAAAAGGTAGATTTGTTTACTTTTTTTAAAAGTTTAAATTTCTTGAAATTTAAAAAGAAAAAGAGAGGGAAATATTTCAAAGGCCTTAATAAATTATTCGCATTTAAAAATAGTTAGATATAAAGGTCTTGTAAATTAGCATTATTTATTAGGAGCATTTTTAATACCGTATACATTAATGGTACTTTTTGCTGGTATACCATTATTTTATATGAAATTATCGCTAGTGTTATTTATTAGGAGCATTTTTAATACCGTATTCATTAATGGTACCTTTTGCTAGTATACCATTATTTTATATGAAATTATCGCTAGCATTATTTATTAGGAGCATTTTTAATACCGTACACATTAATGGTACTTTTTGCTGGTATACCATTATTTTATATGGAATTATCGCTTGGCCAATATTACAGAAAGGGAGCAATAACCACTTGGGGTTGGATTTGTCCACTTTTTAAAGGTTCAAACTTTTCAAATTAAAAAAATTTTTCTTTCGAAATTTTAATTTTGAATTATGATTTAGATGTCCTGAAAGATAGCGATATAATAGACGAATGAAGAAGAAGTTATTTTAGTTCTTTTACTAATTCAATAATATTTTTTAAATAGCTGTATTTAGTGATAAGATATGATTAGATGACGAAGATGTTGATAAGGGATTAGCAATGAATAATAAATGGTGAGAAGTGAAATATATTTAGTGAAATATATTATTTGTGATAAGAGATGATAAATAAATAGAAGAAATAGTCATTTATAATGGATAAAGAGAATGATAATAAATAGTAAGATAAGAAATATATTCAATGACAGGAGAAGATAAATAAATGGATAGGTGAAACAGTAATGAGGAGTTATGATGATAAATAGTTAAATGAAATAAGTTGATAATTAAAAAGGATAATGAATGTTCAGTGGAATTAATTGATTTGTTAAGGTGATAAAAGATAAAAAGATACGATTTAATTTGTTAATTACAGGAATAGGATATTGTGTTATAATGATAGCATTTTTTACGGATTTCTTTTATAACGTAATTATTGCTTGGGCTTTACATTTCTTCCTAAAATCATTCACGACTAATTTACCATGGGCATCATGTAATCATGATTATAACAGTATCATATGCTATGAGCAAAGGTTATCATTTAATCATTTATTATCATAACTAATCATAGCATTATTGCATAATGTTTATCAATTAATTAAAATATTTTATTGAGAAAATTTTCAACATTCCTAACCAATTTGTGCAATAATTTCAAATATATTATCACACAATTTTATTATTAATTTTATTGTTTTTGTTTTTATTATTTGACCTTTCTAGCTGGAATGATGGTAAAGATAACGAATGTGTTCGACCATTGAATAATTCTAATATCAGCGTTATATCTGCAGCCGAGGAATATTTCTAGTAAATTATTTCAAACTTATTTAACTAAGAAATTCTTTTTAGTGCAGAAGAAACATTCTAAAATTATCACTACTGTATATTATGATTATTAATTTCAAGTGTTTCCTTATTAGATTGTTATTACCTGTTATCATTGTTATTAGTTGTTATCATACTTATTAATACTATTATCATTATCATTGAGTAAGCATAACAATTACTTTAACAATTGCCACCCTATTTTATCATCTTTAATTGTTGTCACTACTATCGTCTCCATTTTCCTTATTATTAAATTTGTCGCTTAAATTTATTAGATTGTTATTACTTGTTATCACACCTATTGATACTATTATCGTTATCATTGAGCAAGTAATCATAGTAATTCATACAAATACTATCCTACTTTATCATCTTTAATTGTTACTACTACTATCATCTCTATTTTTCTTATCATTATAATTATTAATTTCGTCGTTTCCATATTAAATTGTTATTACTTGTTATCATACCTATTAATATTATCATCGTTATCAATGAGCAAGCTTCATAATTATTATTGTAAATACTATCCTACTTTATCATCTTTATTTGTTATCACACTATCACGTCTATCTTCCTCATCGTTATGATTATCAAATTTATCATTTCCCTATTAGATTTTCTATCATCTTTATCATTACAGCCTTTATTTAGCCATCATATATTTTATCATCTGTTATCATCATTACTAGAAATTAGAAAAGAAAAAATGAAATGAATCATATCAAATTTTGATTACAGTAAAAAATTCCTTGGCTTGCATATGCCCGGTGCGGCAAATTCATCGGTAGCTCATTCGTTAAGTAATCTTGGCTCACTTAATTGGGAGATGGTATTTTGTCTTCTACTTGTTTATATCATTTGTTATTTCTCTCTCTGGAAAGGTATCCGAATGAGTGGAAAGGTATGTTTCAAATTTCAAGAAAATTTTTCCATTTATTCAATTTTATTGATTTTTTTCTTCATCCATATTTAATCATAATCTTTTGCGATATTTAATGATTGGTTTGTAAAACTAATTTCAATCTTTATATTATTTAAACTAATTGCTTTTTGTTATTTTTTGTTAATTAATAATCGATCATAATAATGGTAATAATTTCTAATTAACAATAATAATAATTAACTAATAACAACAACAGCAATAATAATGATAATAATAATACCAATAATAATAATAATAATAATAATAATAATAATAAATATAATTTTATTGTTGATAAATATTGATTTGTAACAGATTATATGGTTTACGGCAATATTTCCTTATGTTGTCCTATTAATACTCTTCATTCGCGGTATCACTTTACCGGGAGCTGAAAATGGTATCAAATATTACATTAAACCAAATCTTGAAATGTTAACTGTCCCAGGTGTTTGGCAAGATGCTGCAACTCAGGTATTCCTTCATTTGTTAATATATAATAAATCAATTTCAAATTAAATGTTAATTACATATTACGATAATAAATTTCGTATCTTAAATTACTTAAATATCAGTATTGAATTAGCAAAATTGAAATCAAACTTTTATTTGAAATTGAACTGAACCTGAAAATATTCAATTACAATAAGCAATAAAGCTGATTGTACCGCTTCTCTCTTTATTATTATTGTTATTTACATTTTTTCATTTTTGAATTCATCGTATTAAGCTATTCATAAATATGCCAAAAATATAGCATTACTACAGTTATTACTATTAACCTATCGTAATTCTTCTAATGCTACCATAATTAAAAAATTAGCTACCGTAATTTTTGTAAATAAAATTTCTGAAGGAACTATTACACACTGAGAAATAATAAATTCAGGTTTTTTTTTCATTGGGACCAGGATTTGGTGTTTTAATGGCTTATTCATCATATAATGAATTTCACAACAATGTTTATCAGCAAGTTCTTTCATCTTATGATAATGATAATTTACTATTAGAACTAATAATATGAATGTTAAAATTAAATTAAAAACAATAGTTATTGTAATTATTAATTGAAATTATAATGCATGAAATTTGATCAAATTACAACAAATCAATTAAGTAATCACTACATAATTATTAATAATTATTAAAATTATTATAATTAAAATTTAGTGTAATTTAGCAGAATAAACAATTAACATTTATGTGCTGCAGCAAATACACGTTTCTTTTGACGTGCAAACTTGTGATAATCCACCTGATAATTAGTCACTTTGATTGAATAATTGATGAAGTGAAAATAGCATAATTAGTGATAAAATCACTTCATTATTTTGTAATAACAAATCGAATTAATTTTCAATTCATCAATATATTGATATTTCCTGTTGGATATAATTTGAATAAGTACAGCTATTCAATCATACTTCTTTACTAGAATAATTTAAACTTAATATAACGAAAGGAATTGAAATTGATATTAAATTAATATAATATAGAAAAGCAAATTTTAGTTATGCTTTCCGTCGGATACAAAATGAATATTGACAGCTATTCAATCATACTTCTTTACTAGAATAATTTGAAATTGAAATAACGAAATGAATTGAAATTGATATTAAATTAATATAATATAGTGAAGTAAATTTTAGTGATGCATTAATAACAAGCGTAATTAATTGTGCAACAAGTTTTCTGTCCGGTTTTGTCATCTTTTCGGTATATTTTCCGTTTCATTTTTTTCGTCTTTACCATTATCACTTTCATTAATTCAATTTTTAACTTTTTGAATTTGGCTATTTTATGATATTTAACTAATATACTTTCTGCATTTTCATGTACTTGGCTATATGTCATGTAGAAGTGGTAAACCAATACAAGAAGTAGCCCAGGTAGTCTATTTTTATCCTAAAATTTCTTCATAATTTTTAAATGCATTATTACCGTAGTAAAATTTGTAGGTAAAATTTATTATTATCCTAGTAAATTTATATTATTGATTAAATTCTTCATAATTTTCAAATGTATTATTACCGTAGTAAAATAAATAGGTAAAATTTACTATTACCCTAGCAAATTTATATTATTGATTAAATTCTTCATAACTTTCAAATGTATTATTACTGTAATAAAATTTATAGGTAAAATTCATTACTACCGTATGAAATTCATTATTAACCTAGTAAATTTATATTATTCATTGAAATTCTTTTTCTTGCTCTTACATTTACATCTTTTATTTGTGTTTATTATTCGTGCACGATAATATCTAGTCTATTTTATCTAAACAATTAATTTAAAATAAATAATTTGATTTAATAATTTATTTTGAGATAAGTAATTTCAGGAAGGTCCAGGACTTGTATTTGTTGTCTATCCGGAAGCACTAGCAACAATGCCAGGTGCATCAATATTTTCCGTAATTTTTTTCCTGATGCTATTTACACTTGGATTAGATAGTTCGGTGAGATTTTATTTTTTATCACTTCTTCGCTCATTTATGAAAAAATTTTTAAATAATAATAATAACAATAACAATAATAATAATAATTATAATAATAATAGTAATAATAATGATAATAATAATAATAACAATAATAATAATAATAACAATAATAATAATAATAATAATAATGACAGACTGAAAGCTAATTAGAAAATAGCACAAATAAGACAAAAACATATTAGCTCTCTCTTTAAATCAAATATTAGAAAATGAACTGAAATAATTGAAAAATTCAATTTCCAATTCAGTTAAAAAATTCAATTTTCAGTCGATTTAAAGATTCAGTTTCCAGTTCATTCAAAAAATTCAATCTCCAGTTCGTTTGAAAATTCAATTTCCAGTTCAATTCAAACTTCAATTTTCAATTCAGTTAAAAAGTTCAAATTTCCAGTCCGTTTAAGAAATGAATCTACTTTCAGTTTGGCGGTTCAGAAGCAATAATTACCGCATTAAGCGACGAATTTCCATTGTTAAATCGTCACCGAGAATATTTTGTCGCTATATTATTTACTTTATACATGTTTATTGGTATTACAATGTGTTCTAAGGTTATTTTCTTTTACCACAATAATTTCTATTATTAATAATAATTTCTTATCAATTATCATATTATCACGTCTGATCACTAATGATTAATCTATAATTATCACAATTAAATAAATCATCATATATTTGATATTATTACACATTAGCATATGTTAATTTCCTAATTCAATATGATGATAAAAATATAATTAATTCATTTTTCTTTTATGCTTTTTCATTATTATTTAGCCATTAATGAATTTATTATTTTGATAAAAATTATTGATTGAAAAAATTTAAATAATTAACCAAAATTTATTGTAATTTATTTAGGGTGGTATTCTAATTATGGAATGGTTAATTGTTTATGGTACTTCGTTCGGTTTACTAATTGCGGTATTCTGTGAAATAATTGTCATCTCATTCATTTATGGTCAAAAATATGAATTATTAAATATTTTGAATTTTTGTTTAGACCTAAAAAATACATTGATCATTTTAACAATTATCAAAATTTATTTTATTAACCATAGCGATGACCATTTTTGTGATTTTCTAATCAGATGGTGAAGTAAATATTTCGCTATTTTATAGGTTAAAGAAAATTAACAATTACCAAATATTTTGTTTTGTATACTTAATATAGTAATTTCGCAATCATCCTAATATTTAAATTAGAAATCATATTTAATAATTTTTTAGGAAGAAATAATTTTGTGCAAAATTTAAAAGATAATTTTTTGCAAAAATTTTGTGCAAAATTTTAAAGAAATATTTAATAACTTTATTGACTAATAATTAAAATATAATTATAATTTAATTTAATTTAACTAGTTAACACAATTAAGCAATTAATATTCTTTAAATGATACAATCATATCGGATACGCTAGTAGTAAATATTTTGTTTGCATATTTAATCATTCTCAATCATCCTAATATTTAAATTAGAAAATCATATCTAATTATTATTTTTAGGAATAAATAATTTTGTGCAAAATTTAAAAGAAATATTTAATAACTTCATTTACTAATAATTAAAATATAATTATAATTTAATTTAATTTAACTAATTTAATACATTAAACAATTAGTATCATAAATATTGTTTAAATGATACAATCATATCGGATACGTTAATACTGATATATTTAAATTCGAAAATCATATCTAATTATTATTTTTAGGAATAAACAATTTTGTGAAAAATTTAAAAGAAATGCTAGGTTTTGAACCAGGATATTATTGGCGTTTATGTTGGACTATTGGTGCACCAATTTTTTTATTGGTTAAAAAATTTTACAATTTATTGTTTTGAATTATTTAATAAAGTAAACTAATTAACAATATGTAGAGTATCATTTTCTTTTATGAAACAATTCCTAAGATTTTTAATTTTAATTACTAATTGCAATAATGCATCAATTTTAGTGTACCATAATTAATTGTTTCGCTAATTATGAACCGTTGAAATATCAAGATTTTATTTATCCGCAAGCAGCTAATATTTTTGGCATACTATTCTCACTCTCAACTATATCGGTAATCTTCGTCGTCGGCTTTTACAAGCTTTTTACTGTGAAGGGTGATACTTTTACTATGGTATGTATTTTTTGGATCAGTTCAATTTCATTAAATGATAAAGCAACTTAACTTGATTATCACTATATTTTACGCTATCAACTAGATTATCATTATATTTTAAATAATTAATTAAATAATTATTTAAACGCTATCAACAAGATTATCATTATATTTTAAATAATTAATCGAATAATTATTTAAACAATGCCCGGCTAAAGATGCTAGGTTAAATGAATTGTTTGAAATTATATATTAAAGTATAACTTTTCACGAAGTTTTGCATTGACCATATTTACCACAATTTACTTTAGCAAATGGATCTGATTGCAAAACCGTATTTTAAATTGTCTTTTCACATTTTTGTCTCCATGTGACGAATTTTTAAAATTCATGAAGTTAATTGCGGAAAAATGTTGAGACTAAGGATATTTGGTTAAATGAATCTTTTGAAATTATATATCAAAATATAACTTTAATCAACTAATTCCCAAATAACTAAAATGAAAATGTTTTTTTGCTGTAACTAAGATTTTTATCATAGTTTCTAAAAAAGGTGAAAAGAAAATTGAAGTAATCAATTTTGGCACTAAATGTAGAATTGAATTCATACAGGATGTATGTAATAAGAGTGAAAATTTAACGCATATATTTTATTTCAGAAATTAAAAGCAGTTTTAACGCCTCAACGACAGAATCTTATTAACAACAGCAATGAAATAACTGGATCCATATCGAATGATGAAACCAATTCGCAATAATATAATTCCATTTAATCGTAATAAAATATGCTTTCTGATATTGCAATCACATACATAAACATTTTGGTCTTTATAGCAAAATAAAAAGAACATTGTTTTTCTAAACCGGATTACAATTAAATTGCGTCATAAACTACAAAACGGAAAGAAGGTGTTACTGAACAATTGAATAGTTTGATTAGTCCAAAAATTCCTTAATACTTTTACAACGATTCACCCACTTCTTATTTCATCAATACTAAATTGAAATGTGGAAATGCACGAATAAATCTTTAACTGTGCACATGTCAGCTTAGAATTAGTCGGGTACTTTCGTTCCTGACAGTCATTTCCTTTTTTCACCAAATTATGTTATTGAAAAAAAGATTGACATAAAGATCCATTCTTCTTTTCATTACTATCTTTTCATCATATATTAGCAGCATCCCACGCAGCTAAATCAGTTATTGCCGTCCATTTAGAATTATAACAAAGGTATCAAAAACTGCTCGGTTTTTGATTTCTTTGTTTTAATTCTAATTGTCAATTGCCGATTTCCATGAAGAGATTGACGAGAACATTAATTGAATTAACACGTTCCCAAAAATGATGATATGAAATAGTTTGAACCGAACCTGGATATAATCAAAGTGAAGAAATCCCGAAGAGGTATAGCTCAAATCAATAAACAGAACGATACTTGACACTACACCGTCAATCACATGCAGACTGTTGGAGCAGATTTATTTCGTATTGAAACATCTGGATGAATCAAATTTATTTCAACAAAACAGCATTTAAAAATTACATTAGAAAATTGAAAGCGAAAATTTTCAGACCAATTAAAATTTTCAAAACAGGCTGGCTTATAGGAATACCCCCAAAGGAAAAGGGTTAAAAAAAGCTATGTAAAATAAGGAAGACTATGAAAACACATACAAATCCACTCTTGTTATTATCCTGTAACAGCTAAATGCAAACTAAGAAGTGAAAATTGAAATTCGAATTTCAAAAACAGAAAATGAAACAGGTCAATGAGAACCTGTTTGCAAATCATACTGTTAAAGTTAAGATCTGAGAGTATGCTATTCCCATTTCTAATCATATACATAATAACAGTGAAATCTTATAAACAGCAAAATGATTCACGAAACAGTACAGTCCATAAAAAAAATAATGTGTCCAGAACCGGAAACAAAACAAAACAAATGAAATGAAGAATATTAATCGACCTCCATTCCAGGCTCATTTATGTTGCCAGCATCAGCTTCCGGTGCCCGATCAGAAGCCAGATTCTCGCCTTTCTGACCTTCACTTCCTTTTTCTGGTTCCTTTGTAGGTTCTGCCTTTGCTGGCGGCGGTGGCTTTGGTTTGTTCAGTATCGGTAAAATAATACTCTCGAGTTTCTGGAAAAAAATAAAAAAACAAGTAAAAAAACTGCAAATGCTTCTTTGAAAAAATATTTTAGTTTTTTATCGACTCCTATCTAATAATTTATCTAATAATTTAATAATTTAATTTAATCTAATAATTTAACGTTTTGCGTTATTTTTGTAGCTATCGTTCAACGTAGATGGGAATTACGATTATCAAACTATCGTTTTTGCAGCTATCGTTCAACGGAGAACGGGGATGGGAATTACGATTATCAAACCCAAACGCATCTTTTTTACCTGCTGCTCATCTTGTATCTGATGGACGAAAACGATTGGAGGTTCAGTTTTTTTGCGCATTTCCTGTCGACTTCTTTGATCATCCACCCATTTTTTTTTCTCTTCCACTATAGATATTACCTATAAAATTGAAGCCATTTACTGACAGTCCTTTCAGCAAGCTGAACAGATAACACTTTCCTCTGAAATTATAGAAATATGGAACTCCATCTGCGGATATAAAATAAAAGCAATAAAATCACAGATAATGCACCTTTTCCATGTCAGTTGATCCAAGATGTGCATATTTCTCACTTCCTTTTGTATACTCATCGTAAGCTTTACGCGCTCTCTAAAACTATGATTTTTTAATACACGAAAATAAATGAAAAAAGTCCGGTTTGAAAATTCCAAATTTTTCTGTTCTTCTAACAATTCGGTGTCCCACAAAATCAAAGAAGTTACCATAATAGCTCGATCAAACTCATCGAAAGCATTCTTTCGATTTTCATATTCACGATGTCGTTCATGAACAGGATCGCCCAGTTTCTTTAGCTCAGACATCTTAGCGTCATACACTTTTTTTTCAACATCTTCTCCTTCGTCATAAAGCCAATCTTCTGTTTTGGTTAATAATTCTCGCAGTTTCTCGGCATCCTGCAACAAATAAAAAAATGTCATCGCAGTAATCCAAATTCAATCTTTTCACATCACAAATTTGTGTTCTTCCAGTTAACAAAAGACATATTTCACATAGCACAGAAAAACAGCACTCATAACAAAAAAGGGCCCATTAAGTTGTCTGCAGGAAAATGGTGAAAAATATATCAGAGATTTAAAAGTCGTAGATATTTTCACAACTTATTGACTGAAAAAAAACTAACGTCATCAGAAATAAATTCTGCGAACACATCCGATAATTTGTCTCGTATATAATAAACATATTCTTCAACAGCATTTTTCGCATCTGCTTTCTCTTTTTCCACTCTGTCTTTTCCTTGCATTTCTTTCTTAAAAATTAATATTAAAGCGTGCTATAAGTAGACCAAAAGCAAACTAATGAAAGTCCTCAAAATCATCTATGCACTTCTTCCAATTGTAAGTTCTAATTAGTTATATCGTACATTTGTGTTTTACGTCTTATATTTTGCGAATAAATAAAATCTCATCCCGTACACTACGTAACTAACCTCGAATTGCATGAACTGTAGTTCGTTGGCAATAATATGTGGGATATGTTCTTCAACCGGCAAATCCATTGCAATTGTCTTAGTCTTTTGCCCATTATTATTCAGTAATTTCTGATCTTCAGCAGGAGGTATGACATTACTAGTTGTTGCATCTGCATTTTCTTCCTTATCTCTTTTGGTATCATCAGTTTCCATCGCTTCAGGTGCTTTGTGAATCTGAGTCTAAACGATAGCATAAAGTTTTTCTAAGGAATAATCTTGATACCAAAAAACATATAGACCATGTTATTAAAAAACTTGCATCAAGTGGACTTGCTTCGACGGTTTCAAAAGTGTTCGCCGAGCAGACTGAGAAGATACCATTAGGATTGATTCGAACTTTTACTTTCACTTTCCTTGGTTCGTTGTTTGGTCCAGGTGTAAGATTTTTAACAACCCACGAACCTTGAAAAACATGGATATATTTGCAAATTATCAAAGTGATCGTTTTGTCTGGAGCAAAGCCAAAACTTAAATAAAGTTTAAAAATCAACATACCCGACAGTAATAAAATAAAATAGAAAGTAACGCCCAAACAACTTTAGACATACCCATATGTCGTATCGGATGTGGAACTTGATTAGGACATGAATAAGTGGCATCAACTTGAAATGCTTCCTGTCGATAAAGAGTGAGCATTTTGGAATAGGGAAATTCGTCATGCTCAATAAATACATCATTCTCGCTGAAAATAATTTTCACTCTTGAAAAATCTATTTTTTTTCAGCCAAATGTTAACATCTCATTTGGTCAAGGCACGATGCCAATAGTCCATATGAGGAAAGAACGATAAAAACGGTAAAGCGAAACTATCAGCCAAGGATATTTTGTACATACCCTCCTTCACTTTGTCCGATTGCTGCCCATGAAAGTTTAATTCTATACGGTTGACTGTCTTTGACTGAAAAGTCCCGAACTTTAAACACTGGCGAAAGAATAGCACATTTCATCGCAGCACCTGCAATTAATTCCTTTGAAGAGACGAAGAGAAGACTCATCTATATGGCTGAAGTTCACTAAAATTAATTTTAAAATTAACAAGCACTAAAAAACCTTGGTTGATAACACTCGATGAATCTATTCAAAATTCAGAAATATTTTTAAAAAATACCTCGAGCTACAGCCTCATCCTGGTTCATCGTAGTTTTCGGTTCTTTCCCGAACACTTCAAAAGTAATCTTTTTAATGGCCGGAATGCGAGAACTACCGCCAATCAATTCAACCGACTCCACTTCTTCCGCTTTCTTTCCACATTCTTTGAGCAACTTTGTTAGCAAAACACGCACGCGATCTAGAAGGGGTTGTGCGAGCTCTTCAAACTGCGAGCTGAAACAAGAAGTTCTATGAAAAAAATCTCCAACGAAGTTAGGGCAGAACCTGAAAACCTAACTTTATGTCAGCTCAGGTATTAAGCTGAATAAATTACCGTTGCATGTTTCCAGTGACATCCATATCATTCATAAAACATTCAATATTCAGTGGTATAGCTGTACTATTTGTCGACATTTGTTTTTTAATTTTTTCGCACTCATCAAGAAGTCGGAACCATGCCCGTTTATTACTTGCAACATCGATCTTAAAAATTTTAAATAAAGAAATATTTAGTTTGGAATACTTGGCACCATCGGATTTTTTTTATACCATCCAATCGAGAGTGGCAAGGTATGAGGTGTAAAACTTGTATACCTTTCATTCACTACAAACATCTGAAGTTGGAATACTGACGACAATTAACGCGAATAATAAATTTCCTTTAGTTGTATATATGTATATAGCATTCACTTCAGCATTTCAAATCTTAATTTGATAAATATATATGTATATATAGCATTCACATTTGCATTTCAAATTTTAATTTGATAAATACAATTTCACTCTCAACTTTGCATAGGTAAGTGAGAGTACTGATAAATTAACCTTGTAGGTATCAGAGAACAGTTTGCTGAAGTAATCTCGTATCACATCGTCAAAAGCCAGGCCTCCAACTTCGAGATCAAATGTTGCACCAAGTACCTGGAATGCATAATATATTAAGTACTAATTATATATTCGTCATACCTTACTCCTATCTATATACTCAAATGCAGAAACACATCGGCTTTTAGAAAGATATGTAGGAACATTCTGACAAATAAAACTAGAACAGGAGGCTGCCTCCTACAATCTCAGATTAGACAACCATAGACTAAGAGTGACAGTTTACTAAGGGTCTCGGTTAGATCTTTTAGAAAAAAAGGAAATATTCAGAACTTACAGTGAGTTTGCCTTTGTTATATGCAACAAGTACAGCTTGCGCAGCAGAATGCCCCACGTCGATAAATGCTACAATGCGAGGTGGTTCGTTCTCCGCTGGTAAATCCTGTTTATAAATGCCTGAAACGGAGAATCATGAATGTAGATAAAATGTCTGCAAATTTTAGAATTCTCAGTACTGCCTAGAGTTCAGCGTAGTTTACTCCACACCATGATGCTTGTCGTCAAACAATTATGCTTACTGTAGCTAAATTATTTATTAGTCTAAACCATCCGATTTACTAAAGATTAATATAAAGCAGATTCTTCAAAACTTCTTTCAAAAACATAAATTTGAAAAGAGTGACGAAATAGGTATTTAGATCCAATTTTCGAGAGAAAACAAACACCAAAGCCAAAGATAAATGAATTTTGGCGAATGTGTCACAAAACAAAGCTGTCTAATCATTAAAAATTCATTAAAAAAGTCCGAAGGTTAAAGATACCATATGCGAGAGCAACAGATGTGGTTTCGTTAAGAATCTGCAAGCAATTTAAGCCTGCTACTCGAATGGCTGTCAGTAAAGCGCGTCGCTGAGCGTCAACAAAATAAAATGGCACCTGAATTTAATTTAAATTTGGTAGCATAATAGATCTACTGCACAACAATCTCACAAAGAAAGAACGAAGAAACCCCCAAATTGAATATCATGTGAATCATCAAGGGAATGTTATAGTCCAGACTGAAAGGAATATTAAGCGGCAAAGACGCATCACTTATTGGATAAAAGTTTGGGATTTCAACAAAAAAAACAAACAGTTACGGGCGCTTACCGAAATAACGCAATCGGCGACATTCTTCATTTGTGAACTATTTTCTGCGATATCCTTTAATTTAACTAGAAATATCGCTACCACTTGTTCTGGGGTAAGAACTCGCTCTTCGTCAAAATATTGAACCTGAAAATGAAATATTTACGAATGCCTCCTTTATAGTGTTTACTGGTAAAAAAGAAATCCAGAGCGACAATATGGTTTGGTGGTCAGAAAGTGAAGAAATGCAGTGTTGCGCGACGAAATATACCTTGAATCCAATATCATCATTAGGTAACTGAACCATTTCACATGGTATGAACTTGCGGTATTTCTGAGTGATTTTATCACTAAATTTTCGCCCCAATAGGTGTTTAAAATTGATAATGGTGTTTTTAATGTTCGTATTCAACTGCTGCCGAGCGGCAACACCCATCAAACGCCCTCGAGTTGTGAATGCCACACAGGATCTGAAAACAAACCATATACTAATTGCTATGCTTAATATTTACGGAAAATCTCAGAATATTAAATATCATGCCAATTATGCTATCCTCTACAAACCAATAGCTTTGAGTAAATCGCAACAAAGAAGAAGAACGTTTTACGCTGTATCCTTTTCAGAAGCAAACAAACTGATTACAAAATCATAAGGTTATTTAGAAGTTCCACTTACAACAGTACTCATTATCATGGCTATAGTTTTTGAAATGTTTGCTTTGACAAAATAAAAATAAACGTTAAATGTTAAAAAACAAAAAGATTCACGGAGTGGCTCGCAAAGAGTAATCATTCGCAATTGTTTCGATACCACCTTGACGTGCCACAGCGATGAAACTGCTTACATTACCGAAATCGAAGCCCACCACAGACATTTCTTTATATCACTCGTAAACTAAAAAAAGATTAATAATAAATAATGAGTCAGTAATATGATGGACCATACGCCTTATACTGATTAATTGTCGTAAATTGCGATAAAAAATAGGAATAATACATATGAAAGAAGCAATGTAAAACAAATCATTCAAACAAATCGACTGTAACAAAATCGAAACTAAAGAAATATACTTCTCTATATCATGGAAGACTGGTATCAGTGCAAAAAAACGTGTTGTGAAACATAAGATGGTAATAACATATGGAACTTTCACAAGACTATGTAACTATGCACCTATCATCAGTAAATAATCTAGTGCTTTTTTATACTGACACCAGTCTTTCGCACTGTGTTATCAGTAACTGACAATATAGAAAATTAAGCGAATCATGCCCTAACCTGTGAATGAGTTGCTATTCAGATCGAAATATGAAGTGAAACATACATGGAAATTAGTATCAAACCGTAAGTGGTGCAATTTTAATCGTCAAGATCTTCACTGCAATTAAAAAGTTTGTAGGTCGTGATTATAACTGTTGAATAATTAACCGCTGCAGGGCAAAGAGAAATTGAAATCATAAATTGAAAATGTGGTAAAATAGAAATAAAAGCCAAAAAGCTAGATTATGACGATTACAATGAAAATATGGAAAGCCTAAGAAGTAATGTAGGAAACAGCTTTTTCTATGTTTTTTACAAAACATGAACAAATGCCACTAAGGATCTGAAGATTGCCAGAATTACATTTTAGTAAATATAACATCTGATAGTGATTCCATGGTAAGCGGATAGCGTTCCTCAACCCTTTCATTTACAATTAACCTTTAAATTTTCGTTTATTCATTCCTAGATATTTCATATTAAGAACTCATGATCGCAATATGCTACGTTCTTCGGAAAAAAATATCTTACGTTTTAGTTTCCGGATACCCTATGCTACATTTGCCAGAATTCAAAAGACAAGCATGATATTCCATCTGTTCAAGAATGTCGGCTTGAGAGTTCTAAAACTTGAAGTTTATGTTCATGACATTACGGGTCAATAAATAAGAATGAAAAGCAAAAAGAAGTGAAATAACGAAGGGGATGAATCATAAAAATCAAAATGTGTAATATGCAAAAACAGAATCTATTCTGAATGCAAATTTCTCGGTCTTTTGTGCAGTCGATATGCAGCATCAGAGGTCAAAAGACAAGCATGTTCTGCAAAGAATGTTTCTCAAAAGTGAAGCGAAAGATAAAGGCATTTTGAAATATGCGACGGCATATGAAAAAGCATTAACAAATTTAATGAAAAAAAGCGAAAAAATCTTCCATTCGATTATTTCTGAGACAGCATGCGGTAAATTACTTTTCATTCTCTAGAATGAGTTGATGATTAAATGAAGGTTAAAGTAACAAGTAAATGCTAAACAAACTTAGACTAGAATTATGCAACATATAACAAGAGAATGTAATATCATTACATGAGTAAAAATTTCGCAGAGTTAAATGAAATTATACGAATATTGTACCGTTTGGTTAATGGTGAATAAACAAAGAATGCAAATATTTTGTATGTGGAAAATTTCACAAAACAATACATGCAAGAAGAGTATTTATAGTTCATTGCTTTAAGCATGTAAATGATATAAATTTTTTTCTCTCACAACCTGTTTGATTCCTTTGTTTACGTAACACAACTCTATCATTTCCAAGCAATCATTAGAAAAAATTAAAATTCATCTGTTTACGAAAAATTCGATTTTCCATTTAGCTATTCCTAAAACGGCATACGGTATTTTCCTATTTTTCCATTTTATTTCTTTCTTCAAACAACGCTAGCGATGCCAAACATTTATCGAAAGGAAAATTTTCGGATTAGATCAGCTGATGATGATTCACCATCACTATCATGGATAAATCGTGAGTTATTTGCTTACCTACCTATCTATTGTAAACCTTTTTACAACTAGCCATTGGTCAACTACTTGCACAACCATCACAAACACACCTACCTTAGAACCAGAAGAGTTGACTGGTTGCAGCATTCAATGCCACCCAATTGATTTCATTACGAAAGTTCCAGAACATTGTCACTGTTTATAGCAATCATGAGCCTATGAAAGAGATAAAGAGGAAGTAAAAGGAAAACGTTTAGATGATAGGGAATGGGAAAAAGAAGAGAGTGAGAAGAGATAAGGAAAGAGTGATGGGGAGGAAGAGAAAAAGAGGGATAATAAAAGCGCAATAAAAAAACACTGAAGTTTCCCGAAAGTATGGGATCAGTATGCAAACTCATTGTTTCGCTTTCATTTTTTTTGTCAACAGAAGACAACAATTTTTTCTTCCACAAAGTATGCTTTAATAATTTCTTTTTAATTACCTAAAATTTGCAGCTGTATTGAAAGTTAGAATACAACCATTGTGTAAATAATACAAGAAGCCAAAGTTACATTTATGATAGCATATGTAAGAAAAAATTTGAACTTGATAATGATTGCTCCTGATAATGTATGAAACAAAGGCATTTCACGTATGAAACTATTTAAGTCAAAAAAATTAGTAATAAATATGCACAACGTACAGAACGAACACTCGTCTACACGTGCGTACCCATGCTACATATTACCCATAAGTTAAAATAGCGCAAAGGCATTTTGTAGCGTAACGTGACAGAGGAATCCGAACTTTAAACGTGAAAAAAAAAATGTATTGAAACCAGTTGTGGCATGAAAATTGATGTTTCTACCAGAATGTTCTGGAGTGGATGTCGATTCAGTAAAAGTTACGTTCCGGTTGAAGTGGGTAGTTCATCATTTTATGCCTACTGTTCTATATATTTTCAGTTTATCTGTTGACATAAATGTTGATTTTCTTGAAATTTTTATGCTTTTTAATCGTATACTTGCGTTTACAGGAAAAAAACAGATGAAGACAAAATTTTGAGCAACTATTGAGTTTATTAGTCTATCTTCCACCAACAAAGATATAAGAGAAATTTTGAGCACAAAGAACCAGTATTTGAAGAATCAAATTTACAGACACTTATGTAAAACATTCTGCAAGAAAGATGTTTATTAATTTCAGTAGAAATTGGATTAAGAGAAGAGAAATTTATCGAATATTTAATTTGAAAAATGTACATTAACATGCATACATGATTTAATGTGAACGGCAACTAGCACACATGCACAAGCCTGATAAATTAATCAAAAAATAAAAAAATCAATCGAAGATAAAAAGAAATGTGGAATGGATATAACAGTCCTATGGTTTATATCAGTTTGTATATTTGCTATAGCTCAAATATGTCGTTCATCAATTTCTTCGATTTTTCTGAGCTGTAAGTACGGTATAAAAAGTTGAAGTAAATCAGAAATCAATCTTATGATTAGTGAAGAGTTTAAGATCATACAGGGTATGATTGATTTTGGCATGAGATGAAATAGAAATGGATCACGTGAAATTTTACTTTTTTGATCTGTTTGAAGTATAGTAATATTCTTAACAGCGTAGCAGTGTATGTTTAAGTGATGCAAATAAAAAGAATTCGGGATGTATAGTTTCATGCGAATCATAATACATACCTTTTAATATTTCATGGTTTTTTTTTCTGTGGAAAGTACGCTAACTTAATAATGATTTAGAAAATTATGCATCCGTAATAAAACTATATATTGCGTTTATATCAAATTTCGGGCATTTACGTTAACGTATTTCGGACTATTTAATCATTCGCTTATTTTTTTTCAGCTCTGTTTTTATAAATGTTTGCTAATAAGTTCGAAGACATTCATCACAAATTGATGCTTGTACATTAATTTGGAAATGAAGTATTATGATATAAAAGATAATAACACATTATTTAGAGGTATGCTTTCACAATATCATTTCATCATATACGTCAGATTTCTTCAATGATTTACGCCATATACATTTATGATATACATGTATATATAATACATAAGCGTATGGTATTTCTGCACCTCTACTGTTTTTACTATTTTTTCTTGATGTTTGTCGAACTTAAACTTTTAGAACGTATAGAATGCCAAATGCGGCATTGCAAGTTGACCAGACGGAATGGTTACAAAAAATTGAGCAGAGCTTACACGATATTGATATAATTGGAAGAAGATTAATTATTGGGCGTTCAACATGCCGAAATGCCGGTTCCGAGCTTATTTTAATACAACTTGAGGTTTTCGTTGCTGTTAACATCGTTGTTATTATATAATATATTTTTTCTTTTTCTTTTTTCTGAATTTTCTTCCAATTTTTGTTAAATCATAAGCACGAAACTAATCAATTAAAGTAGTTTTGGTGAAATGTAACTTTCCTTTTTTTTGATGAAATAAATCGATTATTGTCAGTATATTAACAAGAAATATTTTGATAAAGCATGAAATCGTAGTTTTAAATTCGAATTGTGATTTCAGATTTCACTATGTCATGGTATACACTTAAGAGAGGATACCAAAGAGACAATGTTATTGAAAGAAAATGAGATAGATTTGTTCTGGCACTGATTTTCATAGGATTTACGAGAAATTCAGGAAACAATCTAATAAAAATACTTGTGAAAAAAATTCCGTAATGATCATTTTTCCTGTCGTTTCGCAATTATCAGCATATTATCCGAAAATTTTCAAAAATATGGAAAAAATCCATTTCAGGCAAAATTAATTCGACATGCTGCACAAGTGTGTTATTTGAATCAGCGCTACCGGGGTACGAAATATCCATCTCTTAATGAGTGGTTAACATATATCAATTTATTACCAACCGAAATTGTTGCTATTCTAAAATGCTTGCGGACATTTTGTGTATTAATCACTATGAATGACAAACAGGTAACGAAAATTCTTCGTTTTTTGTGCAATCTTATTTTTTGAAAAATGATCTTGTTAAAGATGACTCATATGATGTCAGTCATTGCATCATCCCAAAACTAGTTAAATGGTGAAATCTATTTCAACTTTCCCGCGGATATTCATAGTTTTGGAATATTTT